CACGCCGAGTGGCAGGCAACCCAGTTAAGCCATCCATTTTGCCTACATTCAGCCTTCATTTACTTACATACATATTTGTTTATTTATTTACTTGTGTTCTTAAGCAAAGCTTGGTAGCTTCCTCTTCCTTCCACAGTTGTTCACTGCTCATGTATCTGTCTTGTATGCATGTATTTATAAAGCTCTGCTTATGTCTTTCTGGCTGTTCGACTGTCTCTGCTTTCTTGTACGTCCGTTTGTCTCTCCATTCGCAAGCATGCTTCGTTCGTTTGTTTGTTTGCTTGTGTGTTCCAAGCTTGTATAGCCTTAAGTTGTGCTCGTAAATCGTCTTTATTACGATTATGTTTGTTTATTGCAATAATTTATGTGATTTGCGGTTTTTGTAGCTCGCCAATTTACGTTTGTTTGCCTTTTCCATGTTTATTTGTGTAGTGTGTTTCGATTTCGTTTTTCTTTTTTTGGGGGGTTTTGACTCCATATTTTAGGGTTTTATCTTCCGCGGCTTTAACTCTGGCTTTTACTTCAATACTATTCGTTTTATATTTACTTATTTATTTTAAAGTTATTTGATACCTTTTGCAATGTGGATTTTGTATTTTAAGAACGTAAACTAAAATAATAAACATAAATATTTGTCGCATATTTACACTTTTGTTAAGTGTTTGTTCGATATTCTTCTCGAGCAAAAGTTCCAGGTAGATACGCTGTCAAGAAAGAGATTGAAAACAAAGTGAACGAGGAGACGCACGTTTTAAGGAACTTCTCTTAGTTTCCTGAACCAAGTTTTTATACATCCGAGGAAAAAACAGACGAAGCTTCCAACATGTTTGGCAGACCGTCTGCAGAAAAACTTGCAAAAACTTTTATCTACGTCCATTGTTTTTGCCTGACCTGGCTTAATGTTACTATGGGAAAGCAGTATTAGGGAAATTTCGCTGAAATAAAAATAAAAATAGCAAAACAAAGGACGAAAACCTTCAAGCATTGGATAGGAAGAAGTCTTCATCAGCAGTCATCGGGGCAGGATTGCCATTCCAGCAGAAATTTACCATTTGTTGTAAATTTTTTTCAGTTTTTTCACTGGTACATTATCTTCAAATTTGATCAATTCTTGAGGTCTGGTAAAATGAAATAATTATTACCTACGCCAAATAACTTGTCAAAGACCAATCCTTTGTGTGAAGGCCAAATACACATCAAGCAGGGAAATCTACTATTACTGCAATCCATAGTATAACTGAGTAAAATGAGTAGTCATGAGATCCTAAATAGACTTGACGTGTTTGCCTATGCAAATAAGCTAGCTATATATCTACATGGTGGACTACAATGAAGATAACATTACTTCTAGATTGCAGGACGCCTTAAAACTGACTCAGAAGTAGTGCACTGAAAATTATCGGTCAATAAACCCACTAAAGTCCACAATTATTCCCTTCCAAGCCAATTCGACGCAGAGTGAGTTATGGTAAGAGGCGAAGAATCTAGAGATAATCCTTCACAAAAGACTAACAGAGATTGTATGGAGATATTCACAAAAAAAATTTATTTATTTTTTTGCATTAAAATCTAAAGATAAAACTAAACTAATAAAAAAAAATAAAAAATAATAATAAAAAATAAAAATTAAAAATCCTCTACGCCCGAGGAGTACTCCAACCCGGACCCTCTCGACCGGCAGCCTAATGCTTTGACCACTCGGCCATTGCGACTCTTCGGCCGGCGCGGCAAAAGGCATACATAAACGTGACTCTCTCCTACTGAATAGCCAAATCATCTCAAGTCACAAAAGTAGTCACTAATTGCTAATCTCAAATTTAGTGACTTGAGATGAGACTGAATTACTGAATCCCAGGATAGGTTTGTAATTTAAGGGACCAATGAGGATTCAGTGGAATCAGACCTCTCTAAAACACCTATGTTCTTTTGTAAAATGTCCACTAAGTGCCTTTGGCATTACTACTCCTTTATTTTCATTTGGTGTGTTTAATTTTTTAGATATATTTATGGTGGCTTTGAGGAGTTTTAACTATTCATACAACCAAAATAAGAATGGAACTTCTTCTAAATACTATAAAAATCTGAAATTCAAATTAGCCCCAGCTGGAGGCGAGTTTATGTCTAAAAAACAAAATTGAATCAGTGACAAACGCTAGGCATTGCTAAATAAACATAAATAGTCATTAATCTTCGCTAAGTGCCTAGACCCAAACATCTGACCTCAAATGCATAAACTCTTAAATATTACTGTGAAACTGCGAAAATTCCCAGCCACAGCTGAAGTCGGATTCTCAGCTCAGCTGCAGTTGGTGTGGACTGCTGCTTTTGGCATTCACTTGTGGCATTCACTTTTAATTTTTCACTTATTACTTATGCCGTATTTGCAGGCGGAAAAAATTAATAATAATATGTAGTTAACTGAAAATAATAAGCTGCTGAGAATTCGTGAATGGAGCACTCGGTGTGGTGCGATATATATATATATACATATTTATTCTCTACCTGCGCAGCTGTGCCACTAAATCACACAGTCACCCGCGCAGAACGCACCAGCGATGGATCTCAGCATGCCGACACGTTTGCTAGTGGAGCAGCAAGTGTTGAAGCGTTG